AACACATTATTTATAATTTGTCTAAATTATATGTTGGTCAAAATTGAATTTATTTTAAATGGAGTATCTTTGTATAAAATTATATTTTAAAGGGTGGGTGGAATTAAATACAAATGTGGTGGTTAAATTCACTACTCTTTGAGAAATTATATTTTACACATTGTGATTTGTTGTGTGGATGAAGCAAAAATATTGTTGCCCTCCTAGTATTAGGGGCGACCGCGGTTCCGGTTCCGGTTCGGTTCCGGTTCGGAACCGCCGGTTCCGGTTCCGCAAATGGGGAAACCGGAACCGGAACCTTATATTAAGGTTCCGGTTCCGGTTCACGAACCGGCGGTTCCGGTTAGAACCGCCGGTTCTAACCGGAATTTTGAAAAAAAAAAAAAAAAAAAAAAAAAAAAAAAAAACTAAAGTTAGGCCATGCTATTGGCCTACTGGCCAATAGCATGGCTATTGGCAGCCAGCAGGCCACTGGCCTACGCCAGTGGCCTGCTGGTTTAGACTTTTGAAAAGCCAAAGCCTTGCGGCTTTGGCTTTTCAAATTTCAATTTAATTTTTTTTTTTTTTTTTTACGGTTTGGAACCGGAACTGTCCGGTTCCAATATTATAGGAACCTTAACCGGAACCTTATAGGTTCCGGTTAAGAACCGGAACCGGAACTGTACGGACGGTTCCAGTTCGGTTCCGGTTAGTATAGTGACGGTTCCGGTTACGGTTCCGGTTTGAACCGGAACCGTGGTCACCTCTATCTAGTATTGTTTGGGATGAGGTTTCCATTGCATAGAGGTAGAATGAGACTCCCTAATGGTTGTTCATTGGTTAACCGTCAAGAAATCATCTTAGAACATTTATACTAAGGTTGTCAGAGTGGGTCAAAAATTTGCGAGTTAATCCACACTCGTTCCGCAATATAATGGGGCGGATTAAAGCCACAAAAAATTAGTCCACGAAATAGCTGGCATAACAGGGCTGGCCTGCTAAGACCCGCAACTCGCGGGCCAGGCCCTATTTTAAAAAATATATATACATATATATGTTACATAACAAGGTAGTACGCTGCTTTGCTGTATATATAACTAATTTTTTTCTGTGATAATGTCCAATATAATGTTTATTTTCAAATAAGTACTTTAAATATATCAAAACAATATTATATTGGAGTTGTTCATGCATAGATAATTGAATGTTGAATTTGCGTACTTAAATAGATAATTCTAAGTTTACAAATGCAAGAAAATATAGTCAAGTCAAGATTGATTATAATTGTCAATAAAATAATTATATGGGTATGGTTGAAATCAAATACGGGATATAAGGGAGAGAAAATAAAGATTAAAACATAATATATTAAATCTATACTATATATAAAAACAAAATCCTGGGTTAAAATTCCCAGCCCAATTCTCAAAAAATCTCTCTTCCTAACAAAATATATTGATTTCTACTTTCCTATTTGTACAATAATTCTGGGTTAAAATTATATTCTAATATTATAAAATACTGTAATACAATTCATATTGTAATCTATCTATCTATACATCTATACTATATATAAAAAAAAAAAACAAAATCCTGCAATTTTAACTTCCCGTCCAATTCTTAAAAAATCTCTCTTCCTAACAAAATATATTGATTTCTACTTTCCTATTCGTACAATAATTCTGGGTTAAAATTCTATTCTAATATTATAAAATACTGTAATACAATTCCTATTGTAATCTATCTATCTATACATCTATACTATATATATATAAAAAAAAAATCCTGCAATTTTAACTTCCCGTCCAATTCCTAAAAAATCTCTATTCCTAACAAAATATATTGATTTCTACTTTCTTATTCGTACAATAATTATGGGTTAAAAACAAAAACAACACATATACATTTTGGGTTAATATTACCCAAACCCCCCTAATAATAAATAATAATTTTTTTTTATCGCGCCGCTGGCCGCGGCTAGGAAGTCCGGAATCGGCCTCCTCCGCAACCGCCTCGCCGGCTGAACTGGCGATTAATTTTATTTATTTATTTATTTTTTAGGTTGTAAAGTGTCAAAAGTTCGGCAAGGCATAACTTTTGACTCAGTTGTCCGTTTTGGACAAATGTTTTTTTGAAATCGCGTATTTTTTCGAGATCTATCCACCGCAAACAGCCGTAGGCGGTTTGGTCCACTAATTTCTAAAAAAAATGCTTTATTAAATAGTTTCTAAGAAAAAACTATGAGAACCTTATATTTTATTAATGAATTTTTAAAATTTTTAATTAAAAAAAATAAGAATATAGAATTGAAGAATATTTAATTATTGTTATATTATTATTGTGACTCACGGAATACAGTATAAGAATATTTAATTATAGTTATATTATTATTGTGCCTCACGGTCATTATATACTAATGGAACTTGAAAAGAAACTAATAATAATAATATAATAATAATAATATAAGTGGTAATAATATATCTAAAAGTAATTAAGCATTAATAATAATAGTAAGAATATTAACGTAAGAATTATAACATAGAATAAATCGTAATAATTAATAACTATAGTCTAGGATTAAATTTGAAATTGTCAGGAGATAAGCGACCTCTGGTGAAATTAACTCTTAAATAATTATATATCGATTTAAATATTCTTAGTATATTACAGCAATTTCATTACGTGCATCGCATGGGTGAAAATACTAGTATAGTTTGAGGGTATTCTGACAGAAGATTGAGTTTGAGGGGGTGCCGGCAATCCAGCATATTGCAACGTATTACAACACCAATTCCATTACATGCATCGCACAGGTGAAAATACTAGTATATACTAATATAGTTTGAGGGTATTCTGACAGAAGATTGAGTTTGAGGGGGTGCCGACAATCCAGCATATTGCAGCGTAAATAGAAACATAAGATTGAGTTTGAGGGGGTGCCGGCAATCCAGCATATTGCAGCATAAATAGAAATATGATAGGAGATGTATAAACATACCTGGAGAATTCTCCGTTGATGTTGTGCTTGATCCGGGTTAGAGTTCTATTAAGACTTTAATATTATAATTAGACTAATGGTGTAGTTATAATTCTATATTAGAGTTAGAGTACTGGTGTAGTTATAATTCTATAAGGATTTGTGGGTTAGAGTTCTGTTAAGACTTTAATATTAGAATTCTATAAGGATTTCTAGGCAAGGTTAACAGTGAATTAACGAAAATTAACGGAGAAGATAATATTTAACGGAAAAGTTAACGGATAATCATATAATTAAAGATAAATTAGGAAATCTCAATAAAAAATTAAAATCTGAATCATTCATTTGATTTAATAATGTGACGACCATTTTTTCTAGCCATTATAGGCCTTAACTTTCATTGGCTCTTATTAGTATGGTAGATAGATAGTAGATATTAACATTTAAAAAATGTATTTTTTAAAAAAATTTAAACACAAAAAAAAATATTGTTGTTTGTAGACTTTACTTATTTTTATGAACTTTGAATAATATTAATTTTTGTTAGACTTTAAAATTGGATTGCAAATTCGCAATATTAGTATTCGTAGACTTTTTTGTTTTTTTGAACTTTGAAAACCCCCCATGGGGCCTGCCAACCCGCGTGGGACGGGCTAGGGTTGCATGAACCCTAGCCTGTGGGCCTGGAAGTTGGCCCACAAAAGCCCGCCAGAAATTTGGCCCGCGGTGGGCGGGTCAACCCGCTTTGAGAGTACTAATTTACACCAATGCATTTTTTTTGGAGTTTTTGCATAGGAAAAAAAAATTAAAGAAGGGCTTTTAACAATGAGAAGATGGATTTTTTGGGTGATTTTTTTTAGAGTAAATACCTAAAATGGTCCCTCCACTATAGCTAAATTCACAAATTGGTCTCCCGACTTTCAATTTCAACCAATTAAGTCCTTAACTTTGCAATTTTGACACGATTTGGTCCTTCATCTATTTGACCATTTGTTGACTGTGATCGACGATCTCCAGAAGAACCTTCAGCTCTCGTCGGAGCACGTGGAGACCTCCATGATGACATTGCACCGGTTCGGAAACACGTCGTCTTTTTCGCTCTAGTATAAACTCAACTACATTGAATCCAAAGGGAGGATGAAGAAAGGAGACCGGATGGTAGATTGCTTTCGGCAGTGGATTCAAATGTAACAGTGCGGTCTGGAAATGCAACCGGAACCTTAAAAACCCGACGATGGACCATGAAATTACATATATATGCTCAAAAATCACAGTCAACAAACGGTCAAATAGACGGAGGACCAAATTGTGTTAAAATTGTAAAGTTAAGAACTTAATTGGTTGAAATTGAAAGTCGATGACCAATTTGTAAATTTAGCTATAGTTGAGGGACCATTTTGGGTATTTACTCTTTTTTTTTTTATCCTACAAGTTATGTTTTTTTTGGCCCCCGCCATGTGAGAGAAAGAGAAAACAAATGTAAGATTTGCGCGTGAAACACGGGAGCGTGCTCAATAAGTACATTTTTATTAATTTTATAAGGTCAGATTCTTGTGCGGACAGAGCTTCTCGTACGATCGCACGATAACTCACTATTAGATACGCATAAATGTATCACAAAAATAAATGTACCACAAAGAGTTTGAAAATGCACCATTAAGGATGATGCATTTTGTGGTGTACTAGTACATAACAAAATCTCACACTGAGCATGCTCTTAACATTTTCTTACCTATAATAAACATTATAAATAATCTTACATAAAAAAAAAAAAAAACTTTATTACCATTTGAAGAAAAGAAAAAAAAAAAATAAAATTATGTCAAGTGTCAAGAGAAATGAATATTAGTCGATATTCAATATTTTCACTGTATCTATAATCTATAATTATAATCAGAGGAAAATTTTGATTTTAAGATGGGAGGCGCAAAAAAAAAAAAAAAAAAAAAAAACGTTTTAATTAATTAATTATTTTGTCCCTTTATTCGTATTTCGTTTCGTCTTTGTAACGTCTATACTCGTGTAGGATAACTGGGTCATATCGGGCGGCACCATCTCTTTCGGACTATCCCTATAATCTCTCTTTCTCTCTCTCTCTCTTCTGTCTGTGACTCAGTAAGCAATCTAGAGAGAGAAACTCGTTTGCATTGCTTTGCTGCATATAACGCCGGCGTATTTCTTCTCCTCATTCGTCGTTCTTTTTCCTCTCCTCCTTATAAGGGAATCGGAAAATGTCGTCTTCACCAACGCCGCGATCAGCGCCGGCTCCGACGTCACCCCCAGCGCCACCCACCAATAGTAGTACCACTCCGCCGCCTGCCGCGTCACCACCTCCTAAACCAGCGCAATCTCCCCCACCGGCGACTACTTCCCCGCCGCCACCTTCGACTCCAGCTCCGTCCAGGTCTCCCCCGCCGCCGGCGACGCCGTCCTCCCCGGCTCCGTCCCGGCCTCCCCCGTCGACTCCTTCTCCACCTTCCAGCACTCCGTCTCCTCCTTCTCCGCCTTCCAGCACCCCGTCTCCTCCCTCGGGTACGTCTCCTTCTACTCCGGCTCCTCCGTCGCCTTCCGGGACGAGGAATTCGCCACCAGCTCCTAGAAGCGGAGGAGGGAGCTCTTCGACCCCATCTCCGCCGTCTGATGATGGATCGTCGGGGTTATCGGTAGGGTTGGTGGTGGGAGTAGCCATTGCAGGAGTGTTCATACTGGCAGTGCTGAGTTTGATGTTCATATGTTGCAGAAGGAAAAGGAGAAGAGATCATGGACATTACTATCCTTCACCACCACCACATCCACCTTCTGGGCCTAAAGGTGACCTCCTTTTTGCTTCGATTGTTCAAGCATCTTGATTTTTCTGCTTTTTAATATTTAGTTTCACGAAATCTCCTGTTTTTCCATTTTTGTTTTGTGTTTTGACTTTAGCAGGGTTAACTGGATCAATGTTTCGAGTTTTTCTTGATAGATAGCTTTAATCTGTTTAGAATGCTAAGGAATAGATTAGATCTGGCTAAGTTAACCCTTTAGATCCAACAAGGAGAATATAAGTGTAATTTATCATTTTCAACACAATTTTTGAGTCTATATATCCAATTCTAAATGCTGATGAAAACTGGTTTTAACTTCTATACCTGGACAGCTGATCCTTATGGTGGCCAAGTGCAACAATGGCAGCATTATGCTCCACCGCCTTCTGATCATGTTGTTATGATTCCTCCGAAGCCCTCTCCTCCTCCTCTCGGGGCATCACGTCCTCCTCTATCTCCTTCTTCGGTTTCAACACCTCAACTGCCGCCTCCACCTCCGCCTTACTTTAGCAGCACTGAAGCTTCATCCAATTATTCAGGGTCTTCGACTCCACTCCCACCACCTCCACCGGATATGGCCTTAGGTTTCTCGAAGAGCACATTCACTTATGAAGAATTGGTAAGGGCAACTGATGGCTTCTCCGATGCTAACCTTCTTGGACAAGGCGGTTTTGGCTATGTGCATCGAGGAGTTCTTCCTAATGGCAAAGAGGTTGCGGTTAAGGGGCTAAAAGCTGGAAGTGGACAGGGTGAGAGGGAATTCCAAGCCGAGGTTGAGATTATTAGCCGTGTTCATCATAAACACCTCGTTTCTTTAGTCGGATACTGCATCACGGGGTCTAAGAGAGTGCTTGTCTACGAGTTTGTGCCGAATAACACCTTGGAATTTCACTTACATGGTAAGTTTTTTGTATATAAAACCAATTGCCTACCCGTCATACATTAAGTTGTCAAATGATGTTTCTTCTTACAAACCCTAATGTGTAACAGGAAAAGGAAGGCCTCCATTGGATTGGTCCATGCGACTTAAGATTGCTTTGGGTGCTGCAAAAGGATTGGCATATCTGCATGAAGACTGTGAGTTCTGCTTACATACATACCCCTCTAGTTTGATATTGTTGCGCGTTTGATTTTTGTGTTGAATGTATTTCGTGTTTTAAAATGTAGGCAATCCAAAAATCATTCACCGAGATATCAAAGCTGCCAATATACTTCTGGACTTCAAATTCGAGGCAAAGGTAATTATACTTTCGTGATGTCTAAATGTGTTTGATCTTATTGGTCTCTTTTGATTTTGGTCATAGATGTCTAAATGTGCGGGCAATGAATTACTGAAATTTGTTTGAATATTAATGCAAGAGGCAACTATCGAGATGTTTGTGTTACTATACTGATGTATGAAGCTTGTTCGTTTTCTCAGGTGGCTGATTTTGGACTTGCGAAACTCACTTCTGACGTTAACACTCACGTCTCAACACGAGTAATGGGCACATTTGGGTAAGAACTAAGAGCTATTTCTTTATCATATTTACCTGTTTTCAATGTTCTTTTTTCTTCGTTTGCTGATCGATTCTGATTTTATTTGTTTCAATCTTGCTTCACCCTAGGTACTTGGCCCCGGAATATGCTTCCTCGGGGAAACTTACTGACAAGTCTGATGTATTCTCGTACGGGGTAATGCTTCTAGAGTTAATTACTGGGCGACGACCTGTTGATTCTAACCAAGCTTTCATGGACGATAGCTTGGTGGACTGGGTGAGTGATTGTGAATTATCGGTAGAAGTTTTTACGTTATCTGTTGCATTTTTGGTTGCTCTTCTAACGGTTTATACGTTTACAGGCAAGGCCTTTACTCAATCGAGCTCTAGAAGATGGAAACTTTAATACCCTTGTTGATCCACGGCTAGAAAACGATTTCAACCACAATGAAATGTTACGCATGATTGCTTGTGCAGCTGCTAGTGTCCGTCATTCTGCCAGGCGTCGACCTAGAATGAGCCAGGTAATAATTAACTTGTCTCATGAATTACAGACCTCGTGTCTTAGTGGACTAGGTTCTAGATTTCTGTTCCTCAAAATTTCCGACATTTTGACCATGTTTGGTAAAATAGTTAGCCTATTAGCTACTTTTGGCTTATTTGACCACTATTAGCTGTTTGACTTGGTTAAACAATCAGTGTTTGATTAATTAGCTTTTTGTAACAACTTATTGCTTCAAATTCAAAATGTTAAAATTCAAAAAGCTGCTCAAAGTAGCTTTTTCGAACAGCTAATTTACTAAACACTTTTCTACAATAAGCTGATGCTTTCAACTAGTCAAACCCACTAACCCAATCAGCTTACAGCCATTTCTCACCTTTACAAGTATTAAAAATACCATCAAAGAAGATACTCAACTTGTGAAATAACACTCCCTTTCTCCAAATATGTGAACTTAAATACAAGCATGTTTTGAAATTGAACAGGTAGTGAGGGCTCTAGAAGGAGATATGTCGTTGTCTGATCTTAACGAAGGAATCAGGCCGGGGCACAGTGCAGCATACGGAAGTTCATACGAGAGTTCAGATTACGATGCAATGCAATACAACGAAGACATGAAGAAATTCAGAAAGATGGCCTTGGGAAGTCAAGAATATGGCAGCACTGGCCAGTACAGCAATCCAACCAGCGAATACGGTTTAAACCCGTCTGGATCGAGCAGCGAAGGCCAAACAACGCAAGAAATGGAAATGGGTAGGATGAGGAAAGACAGTAGAGGGTACGGTGGTAGTGGAAGTAAGGGCGGTGGCTTCAACTGATCGAAGGTACTGTCGTCTATGTTCAGATGCGCATATCTGTGTGTATAAACTCTACAGGCTGCTAACTCTCTTACTGTCTCGGCAATTGCAAGAAACTGCGTGAATTGCTTAGCCAACGAGCACATTTTTTTTTCCTGAATTTTGTGTGAAATATTCTTACATACATTTTTTCCACATCATTGTATTTATTATGACCTATATATACACGAAAAAAGGGATGAGATACTCTACTTTAATTCTTTTCTGTTCATATCTTATTCAGAGACTTTTGTCTCAGCTTCTTGCTCTGTAACCCACATGATTTCTTGAATGAATATTTTGGCAGTTGGATTTGTATGAGCTGTGTTGTGTGTTGCTGACAAGAAAAAGCAACTTGTGTCTGGACCTTTTTCTTTTGTCTACTCTCCTTTATCCTGGAATATTTTTAGTTTTATACACAAAAAAAGAAGTTAATATTTCGACAACAAGAACAGAAATTCATTAATTAAGATCGGAATAAAGTACATTAGAAAGGAAGAAGGGAGGTGAAGAGCTCCATTCCTTACAATCAGAAATGAATAAAGCGTCCCTAACTAATAAATGGGTGGCTTTATTTGCAAATCGTTTGACAAAGACAAAACTAACATTACATAGATCTTTAGCAAGTTTCTTAATATTACCAAGGGAAAAAAGAAGTTAATGGCCGAACATTTTTTACCATAGGGGTCAGTTCAAGTAAAAATAAATCTTTCCGTAAAAAGTGTGGATGTGCATTATGCAAAATTACAAAATGCATTCGTTGGTAAGTAAAATTGCATTCAAGATCTGCCATTCGAATGAGCTAGTGGGTAAAAGTGCATTCAAGATCTATCACTCAGATGACACTACAAAGTGGATCTGATTGATATGTAAAAGTGCATTCAAGATCTGCCACCCACTCAAATGACACTACAAAGTGGATCTGATTGATATGTAAAAGTGCATTCATGACAATTGCGTTTTTACATATTATTGGATGCACTTTGATTTGCTTTGTACACTTTTGGGTGTTTAAAACTTTGTAACATTTATGAGGGCATTAGCACGTTGAGTTTTTTTTTCAAGATTGATGACTTACATTAATCTGCACTTTTTACTTAAGACCGTTGCTCTGACTTGATCATATATTTGAAATTTTTTATTTTCTATTTGTTAAGTATAATCATATATACTATTTTTTGCTGTACTAGATAATATCGATAGTAATAATATTAGTGCAATCAAATATACTATACCTAATTATATCCATACTATTGACATCGATATCCATCATCAGACATAAATCCTTGTGTGCTGAGTTGGTGGTAATGGCCAAAGTTGAAAGGCATAGTCATTGCTGTCTTGGCATAATTGTTTAGATAAAATAGATGATAAGGGGGTTGAGAGAGTGAATGGTCCTTTATTTGGTGCTGTGGCATGTTGTCTCACAAGCTTTAAAGTTGGTGGGGCTAACCATTACTATATTCAATCCTAACTTTTTGTGCACATGCTGGTGCAAGAAAAATCATTGAAACAGGTCACCAGTTTTTGTCGAGTGAGAAAAAAGTAGATGTTATTTTAAGGAAAACCAATATGCTGTTTTGTTGAAACCTAGTGCCATGAACTATGGGTGTTGGAATAGTTGACATGGTAATGAGTGATTTACAAGTGGTTTGATTGAAGGGAAAGAATTATGTGAGAAAAGAATTGTAATTTGATGGAAAAAAAAAAAAGAATGTGAGGATAAAGTAAGAATTCAAATTACGTTGTTTGGTATGGAGGAATAGAATTATTGGAATTGAGAAGGAAAGAAGTGATATAAAGATTAAAATACCATTGTGTAATAATAATAGTAATAATAACCAAGGGCAGTAATGTCATTTCATCTATTTTTTCATTTCCCACAACCATTGAATTGTAATTTAGGGGGTACCCCATGAATTGCAATTCAGCAAAAAGAAGGAATTGCAATTCCCTCCAACCAAATATTGTAATTGGAGTGACCAAAGAATATAATTGTGGTGGAATTGCAATGCAATTCATGTCTACCAAACAACCCAGGGTCTGAGAAAAAAATGAAGCCTAAAGCCACAGGGCCAATAGTTATGATGTGGAATCATGTTCACCATGCGCATGGTGAACACGGGATAGATCCATAATTTCTAAGCTGTAGATTCATAATTTTTATACTGTAGATTCATAATTTCTGTACTGGTGATTCATAATTTCTGTACTGCGAAGACGAAATAATGTGACTGCAAAAAGAGAAACATCGTTAACAACAAATGAAAAACAAAATTATGAATTTACAGTATAGAAATTATGGATCTACCCCTGCGTTCACCATGCGCATGGTGAACACGTTTCCACAGCATAATTTGCGCCACAAGGCATTGATTTAGTCAAATAAAAACTTCACTTAAGACTTGCTTTCAGCGATAAGGTGAGGGGTTCAATTCTTGCCACAACTATTAGAGTTTGGGTTTGAGTTTTGAGTCTTTAAACTACTCTATTTATCTCCTCATAAACTTAGCGACGGATTTATGAGGTCTAAGATATAATCTGGTGAGAATGAAAATCTAAATTATAAAAAATTAGAATGAAGCCTAAAACATGCATAAGAATATTATGTGCTGTACAAGGGAATGGCACTAGCAGTAAAACATGCAAAAATCATAGTGATAAACCAATATGCTGTTGTCATCTCTTTTTTAACTTCAGTTCGCTCCGAGAGGCACAGAAGCTGGCCCAATGAGAATCGTCACTTGTAGGAATCAAACCTAAGTTATCCTGAAATTCTTTCCCACAAAGAGAGCTCAATTACCACTTGAACTACCCTGTTGGGTTTCAGTCACATTCATATTACTTAAATATGGTAATAACTTTTATAACTCGTTTATATTTTAAGGGTTAATATAAGAGTTAGTCTACAACTTTAATAATTTTTTAAAATTTAGTCCCCAATAAACAATTTTGTTATGTTTTGGTCTTGACATTCATATTACGTCTTGGTCACAACATTCAATTCTGGTGAGGGTATCAAGATCTACTGTTTTGCACCAACTTTGGGAAACAATTCCATGACACTTGTCAAAACAAAACCGCCTCCTTTTACATCCTCGCTGCACCGCGACTGGAGTAAGTATCAATGGCAAATGATCACTATATGGACAAAGTAACGAGCTTGCTTTGGCCCCTTCAAACAAAGTTAACCAAGTATTGGATGTAAGGATTCTAACGTTTTATCGGTTACTATTATTATAACATTAGGATAAATTATGATAATATTCGATCCAGCTTTTTCTCAACCTTATTAGTACTAGTGCCTCGAGATTGCTCCCAGATTACCACTAAAAGGGAAATCTTGTAGTCCACAAATCAACCACCACCTCTCTGAAGCCTGTAACTAACTAGTCCGGGTGGGGTACACGACCTCTTTTCTCAGATTGATCAAGAAAATCGTTGTAGTCTCCCATCACCACCCAAGGTAGTGTACTTTGGGTAGACAGCGATCTCAGCATTTGCCATGCTTCCCGTCTACGTTGCCAACGAAAGTCTCCATTAGAAATACCACATTCGGCCTCTTAGCGCGGATAAGGTCCGCTAACACATAAACTGCTATCGGGTTGCCAAGTCTCCAGCAATTCCAAGATAATAAACTCATAATTATAGGCGGGCTTGCACATCAAGACCCGCCTTCTCCGTGTTTTTTGGCATAGTAACTTCAACATCCATACCCGGCGCCTTCCAGAGTTTACGATCAGCAATGGATTCCGGCGCTATCCACCGTTGTCCCACAGATGGAACAGTCCTTCTCGAACCCGCACGCAGCCATGCACCAAATGGTTTTTCAGCCATTAAATCAACACCTTGTAGTATTTTAGGGCATAACTTGTCACCATGGCCAATAACTCCACACAGGAAACAGAAGGTGGGTAGCCCCTCTCATAGCGGAAGTCAATAAATGCCCAAGTATCGTTCTCCTTCTTTTAACTTCATTTGCTTTTTTCAATGGTTTGGTGACATCAATAGCTACACGCACACGATAGAAGGCTCAATTCGCATAGACCCATCAAAGTTTCTGTCATCCGACTGCACCAATGGCAGATACAACCACATCAGATTGAAGTCCGATCGGAAGAGAGTGAATCTGTATCCAAAATTCAGCGTTTTCATAATCAACCGGCTTTGGTCACAAGTCCATGGTCCATCGTTTAATATTCACCGATATATAGCACTTATACATTTTTAACAGAATATCAAATATTTTCCCTTAGAAATTATCTATATAAATATGAAACACCATATAAGAGGAGTAGTTATGCTGTGCATGGTGCATACGGATGCAAAAACGACGTCGTTTTATTAAAAACGCGCGTCTCCCTTTAAAAAAAAAATTCAGGTTCGATTCCTAGCAACAACATTATGTTGTTCATTCATTCTGGAATTTTAGTTCATAGATTATGGAATTTTAGTTCATTGATTCTGGAATTATAGTTCATTGATTCTGGAATTATAGCTCATCGATTATGGAATTGTAGTTCGATTCTGAAATTTTAGTTCATATATTTTGGAATTTTAGTTTATTCATTCTGGAATTTTTAGTTCATAGATTAGATTCTGGAATTATAGTTCATTGATTCTGGAATTTTAGTTCATAAGTTGTTGCTGGGAATCGAACCTGAATTTTTTTTTTAAGGGGAGATGCACGTTTTTAATAAAACGATGCCGTTTTTGCATCCGTATGCACCATGCATGGTGCATACGGATGCACAACATAATTTACCATATAAGAGACCGTGATATCGATATGTATTAGTCTACAGAACTTATGGGCCAATTAAAAAGTTTAGTTTAATAAAACCATCTTAGCAAAGACAAATCCCGACAGAAGAAAATAACATTTCAAGATTTAATATAAGATGTTTCGAGTTTAGGTATTGAGTTAATTACAGGAACGGTCCATTTACTATTAATATTTATCAACTTTTATCTTTTGACTTTTAATTGAACCATAAATGGTCCATTGACTATTGATCTTTATCAATTTTCGTCTTCGATTTTCAATATGACCATAAATGGTTCATTGACTGTTGATTCTGTTTCAAATTTGATCATTCAGTTAAATAAGATATTAATAAACATTAAATGTAAGAATAATAATATAAAAATCAACTTGTTATTGAGATGGACAAATTGTATTCATAAATTTAATACATTGAGTTCATCATTGTGAAGAACTACAATTTTTACATAATTACTCTTACAGCATGTTTGGTTCACAGAATGAATTTTGAGGTAATAGGAATGCTATTCCATAAGGAATGGAATAGGCAAGA